GTGTGTGTGTGTGTGTGTGTGTGTGTGTGTGTGTGTGTGTGTGTGTGTCCTTGTGTGAGTCCATATGTCTGTGTGTTACTGGAGACTGAAGCTAGGACTTCACCCCTTAGGCAGGTACTCTGTCACTGAACTATATCTTCAGCCCCATGTTTTCTTTTGCTTTGAGATAGGCTCTGACTAAGTGGTCCAAGCCGGCCTTGAACTAACCACCCTAGACCCTCAGTCCCTCAGCAGGGAGGCTTTTACAGGTCTATGCTTCAGTTTTCAGTTTTGGAAGTGCTTCATGTAGGTAAGAATCATGCTTTCTGTCTTGGCGAGTTTAGAATTTGCTGTTTGGAACCGTAGGCTGTAAGAAAATGGTGTTCCACTGTTCCACAGCAAGCCACCAGGTTTGGACTAGTGGTCGGAATGTGCTTCGATGTAAGCAATTCTTCGCTCTCAGCACCCGTTTGCTGTATGTATTTTGTGAGGCTTCTGAACCTAGAAGTGACTGGGCCCATGGAGAAGAAGGCAAGAGCCTGCCGAATGGATGATTTCAGAACTCATGCTGTTTGTCACTACAAACGGAAAAGGAGAAAGAAAATTGCTGTGAGCTGGGGCTGTACCAATAGGTTGCTTGGAAAGAGAAATGCAGATTGGGTCTTGGTTTGCATGAGAAAAGGCAAGCACCCAGATGAGAGGCCCAGAAGCTCAGAGAGGCAGGGCTGGATTGATGTTCCTGCAAAGGGCCTTTCCTTTCTTGGCTCATTGTTGTATCCGTCAGTACTTGGAATAGGGGCTGTGGATATGTAGGCTGCACATCAACTTGAAACCAGCTTCCAGGATCCTGTATATAAACCTTTGATGCTATGATTAATTTACACTTGCCTGGAACAAACCCTGGTTCTTTGAATATTGCTGCCAGCTGTTAGTTATTAATTCCATTATCGTGTACGTTTTAAGCTAGCTCACTGTTTATGAAGAGGGCTCTCCTGGACATTTAGGATTCAGCAATGTTTCTAGCATCTATTCACTAAATTTGGGCATCCCCCACCTCCCCACACATCCCAGCTGTGACAAACACAACTGGCTGGGTATTGGCCTATGGACAGAATCCTTTCTGGTAACTGAGAACCGCTTGTCCATATCGGATTTTAAGGCTTGCCTCGGAGAAGTCTTGCGACAGTGTCAGGGTCAGAATGGGCGGTTGCAGCTCACGCTGCCCAGTTGTCCTTGTCTAAGCTGGCCCTGCTATCCCCACCTGTCTGATGCGTAGGCCCCACTGCATCCTCGAAGCAACCTTGACTCACACAGTGGCAGAACCATTCTGAGCATACCATCTGCCCTAGCCCTTGAGGGCAGCGTGGCTCTGTGCAGATGCCATGTTTATAAGCCCCTTGGAAGTAAGCACTCAGCTTACCAAAAAGGCCAAAAAAAAAAAAAAAAAAAAAAGTGCCAGGCAAGCCTGGCTGAGCCTTGCCTTGCCTGGTGACACCACAAGCCCCTCCCTCTGTTACGTCTCCCCCGCTCCCCTTTGCGTTTATTGATGTCAATCATCTCCCTGACCCATCCAGAGCCATGTTGCAAATGGAAGGCAGGAAAGAAGAAGGGCGAAGAGAAGAAAAAGGAAGAAGGAGGTAAGAAGGATGAGAGAGGGCATGGACCTTCCAAGGGGCACACCTAGACTACTGCCTTTTACCCTGTACCATGAGCATTGGGTCCGTCCTCTTGGAGCAACCCAAGAGTAAGGTTGAAATGGTTCTGCCACTGTCTAAGGACAGCCTTTTGCACGCCCCCCCCCTTTTTAAATGTCTAAAGAAATCTATTTTGAAAGCATCTGGGGTGATTGGTGTGAGGAGGCTTCTTTTGCTAGGATAGACTAGAAACATACAGAATGACAGCTAATAAACCACTTGAAGTTGGAAACAGTAGTTTGCGTTCTCTGTCAAGGAGCCCTAGAGCTAATCAATCAATCACTCAATCAGTCTCTCTCTTTTCCCTCCTTTTGCCCCCTTTCTCTCCCTCCCCCTCCTTCCCCAGGCTACTCTCACATTCATGATTCTGCCTTTTCAGCATCCTGACTGCTGCAGTTAAAGGACTTAGCCACCCAACCTGGCCAGGGTGTTAACTAAGCTAGAGGCCTACAGGATGGGGGGTGGTTTTCCTGTCTCTCTTTGTTCGAGCACATCGAAAAGCACACATGTCTTGAGTGGAAGCTGCCGCTTGCCACGCATCAATCCGGACCCACTGGCGGCATACACTGCATAGACTTCGGAATGGCTTTGAGCATGAAGCAGGCCTTCTTTTCTGGATCAGGCTAGGTCAGCTTCCAGTCCAGTCTAGCTCTTCAGGCTGAGCTTGTCTTTTCCATGATTCTCCTATACACATCCTCAGCGATTTAACTTCGGCGGCCATGTGTGAATGCGTGAATGTCCATGTTCCTGACTGGCTGTGGATTCATACTTGTGCACTGAGTACGCATGATCCTGCTAAGGCTTGCCTTTCCTCACGGAGCTTACGTAGCAAGACACTATATAAGAAAACAAATGAGAGGGGCTTGGGAGACGGCTCACTCAGTAACATGCTTGCCACACAAGCCCAGATTGACAATCCCCAAGACCTCAGTACAAAAGCCAAGCACTGTGGTGAACATCTGTGATCCCAGCACTGGGGAGGCAGCAAATGGATCCTGGGGCTGAGTGGCCGGCCAGCCAGCCACGCAGAATCAGCCAGCCCCAGCTTAATTAAAAGACCCTGTCTCAGAAAGCGGAAAAGTGATTGAAGAAGAAAGACATTCAGCATGCACCTCAGCCCTCCACATGGGCATAAATGAGCATCTACACCCCTCCCCCCACACCACATGTATGTATATGCAATACACACACATATACACGCGACACCGAAATGAGAAAATGCAGAAGGGAAAAAGACCATTTCTGATCCATCTGTAGCCAAGCCTTCAGCTTCAGATATATGAACTTGGGCTGTTTTCTCGTCTCTGTGCTTCCATCTCTCATCTATAAAACAGGTGTGAGTCTGTATTTGAAATCTTCACAAATTGATGGCAGGGATGGGTAATCTTACATATATATCTTATATAACAATATAAGATCTATAAAGCAATAATCTTATATAAATAACATTACAAACAATATATAATAATATATCTTTATATATTATATAATAATCCTATATAAATATATATGTGTGTATATGCCTCTGTGTATTGCTTATTGTGCGTTTGGTAACACAGATTAGGATCCAACTATCTGCAGAATGGCTTAATTTGTTTTAATTTTTATTTTGTTTTGTAAGATGGCACAGTTGGTAACGAGTGCTTGTTCTGCAAGCACCAAGACCTGAGTTCAAGTCCCCAGTGGGCACATTAAAAAGCATGGGTGCTAACCCTGGGAGGCAGAGACAGCTGTACCCTAGGAGCTCACTGGCCTGCCAGCCTCGTTGAAACAGCAAGCTTGTGGTTTAGTAAAAGACACTGTCCCCAAGAAAATGAGATGGCCGGGGACGGGAGAAGGTGGATGGCCTGCTCCAGCTTCTGCCTTCATGTGTTTGGGGGTGGACCTGCCCATTCAGCTGCACACACCCCGTGCGCGTGCACACACATACACACTCACACACGTTACGCACAGGGAAACGGGAAGGTCACACTTTTCTGACTTGGTTCCCTTTTCTCTTTTAGGTTCCATTTTGGGGTCGAAGAATGCATCACACTTGTCCCTGCCTGCCAGGCTTGGCATGTTTAAGGACTTCTTTCAACCGGTTTATTTGCTTGGCCCGGAAGTGATCAGTTTGAAGTAGGAGCATTGTGAACCTCCACTGCACAATGTCTGCCAGTCTCACTTGTGATTGTGTCAAACAGAGAATATGCCAGAAAGAAATGTTCTTACTTCCTCGACTTTCCAAGTAACTTTCTTTCTTTCTTTTCTTTTTCTTTTTCTTTTTCTTTTCTTTTTTTTTTTTTTTTTTTTTTTAAGGAGAGTTTTGATATTTGGAGACACTTACAAAAGGCGAAGCTTTCTGGTATGAAATTCTTATTTCCCTGTTTATGTGTTGCCTTGACATTTTTGAATGCCAGTAACAACCATTTTTACACATAGGAAAGAAAAGAGTGAGCATTTTGTTGCAGAACTTTTTTTTTCTTTTTTGTCTTTTGCTACACCTCCGCCCATCCTGCCCGGTGCATAGACACACCCTTACTCTTCAAAGATTCCAGTGGTCCTCACTTTAGTCTACTGTTTTAAAGGGGGGGCCCTGCATCCCCTACATCTTGCTGGAAGACCCACTGGGGAGGCTCAGACAGCAAGCTCTGTACTCGCTTGGTGACAGGAGGGTGTATCGGAACCAGACACTCCAGGCAGCTCCCTGGAGCGGAAGTCGGGGGTGCCCCTGGAACTCTTCTGCATCCATCCAGGCCACTGGCTTTCAGTTTTGCTGTTTGACTGATGGGAGGAAAAAAAAAAATTAATGGAACATTAAAGGAAGCTGGTCTGTTTTTTTTTTTCTAGATTTAAGTAGAAGACATTTTCTCCCTAGTGGAATATTATGCCTTTTTCTTTTTTTTTTGAAGCTTTTTTTTTTTTTTTTTTCAAGTCTTCTTGTTGGAGACATTCTAAGGAATGCCACTTGAGGAGTAAGCATACATTTTCATCTGGCATGACAGGAGTCATCATTTAAAAATCGGTGTTAAGTTATAATTTAAACTTTTATTTGTAACCCAAAGGTCTATTGTAATGGATTTCCTGATATCTTGCCATTTGTACTGGTATCAATATTTCTATGTAAAAAAAAAAAAATTCTGTATCAGAATAATGACAATACTGTATATCCTTTGCTTTATTTTGATATTATATCCTTATTTTTGTCATGGTTGTCAACAGTTTTTATTACGAGCAGCTCTCTACATAGCCCTCATCCTAAAGTCGACAGGCACCCCAGAGCTGGTGAGATGACCCTAACGCCGCATGCCTTTTCATCTCCCAACTAGGAGAGTTGGTGCGAACCGCGAGGTAGCACAAAAGGGAATAAACGTGTGCATCACGGGTGAAGGAGCGCGACACCCAGAAGTGACTGCTAGCTGGGATAGATCTGCAGGTTTGCCCTGCAAATGCTGATGGAGCGTGCGTGACGTGCGGTGTGTGGCTTGAGTCAGGCTCCAACTGCAGAATGGTGCCGGTGTGGCCCGGCCTTGAACAACTCACTCAGTGTTGTCAACCCATATTGTGTTACAATAAACAACATCAGAAACCTTAAGATTAAGTGACTACACAATTACCCACACCCACCCACCAGCTGTCCCTCAAAGCAGACACCAAGCTGTCCGTTCTGCGATTGTTTGCTCAGTTAGGGGTCATGCAGGTCCAAAAGTGTGCTGCGGTTGTGTGGGATCTGGGTATATTAATCACCACAGCCACGCCAAGAAGTGCTTTCCGTTTACTTTACACTGGGGGGAACCTTCAACATTCCTTCCTCGGCAGGTGTGTTGAAAACCAAACAATAAGCTTCAACAAGGGGGGCAGACGGACTCTCGTTTGCTCGACCAAGAGGACCGAAATACACGGAAAATGCAGCTGAGCTGGATAGTCATGAGAGCCTTGGTGCAGCCCCAGAGCCTTGGTGTTTCGTCTCTCTCTCTTTGTTCATCATTTTTATTGTGTTTAGTGAAACATACCTTTTGGAGGTTATTTTGCCAATTGCCATCAAACCCAACACCTTTCAAAGAACTGTTTCACAAACCTTGTAATCCCGTATCTCATGTATTAAGCATTATTACTGCGCGTAGGCAGCAGTGTGTGACAAAAGGGCAGGGAAGGAGGAGATCAGAGCCATCTAGGTGAGCTGGTTTTCTCCTCCCACCTGCTTGCATACAAAGCTGCAGGGAGCAAACTCAGGTGCTCAAGTTTGCAAAGCAAATGCTTTAACAAGCTGGACCAACTGCCCAGCCCTCAGAGGTTGTGTAGGATGTTTTTATGTGACATGTTAGGTCCCTGGCAACTGCATCTTCGGCTCCCAGGATGGCTCTTCATAATGTCTGGGATGTGCTAGTCCTGAAACCCTACAAGGTAAGGTAAGGCAAGGGAGAGAGTTCCAGGTGAGGTCTATTCCTGGTATTATATGTATAGATGCGTATATACAAATATGTACATGTGTACATGCATATATGCATATACTTTCATTCTATTACAGATGTGTTAGGTCCCTGGCAACTGCATTGTCAGCAGTTATGTATATATTTTTTAAATAAATAATATTATATCATAAACATTATAAATTATAAAATTATAATATAAACTTATAAATATATACTTATATTTATAAATTATACAATATTTTATAAGTATAATATATTTATAATTATAAATATAAGTATAAATATGCCTATTTATGGTATAAATATTATAAATATATATTTATATTTCTAAAATATACAATATTTAGAAATATGTTTTTCTATAATAATATTTATATATTTATTAAATATATTTATATATATATATATATATAGTGGTATAATGAGTTCTCTCAAGTGCAGGGCAGAGCAGATCTGGTGCCATCAGTGAGCAAGCAAACTCAAGTGGACCTTTCAGCTTCTTTTTCTATGTTGGCTTTCATTGACAGTGTTGAGGTGTGGAGTGTGAAATGTCCTCAACACTTGGCCACCATCGGGGATGGGCCACCACTGTGAGGTTTATACCCTGAGCATGCCCCCATCCTGTTTCCTCACTCTGAGGGCAACGTGACCAGCTTCAGACTTCTGCCGCCATGCCTTGACAGTAGTCTAACCGATGGCCTGAAACCCTTGCCCTGTGAACCCACCATACCCTTCCTCAAGTTGCTTCTTGTCAAGTATTTTGTCATAACAATGAGAAGAGCAGCTAATACAGACCATCATTTCTAACTGTTTAACTCAGTACTGAAAACTTGTATTTTTTCAGCAAAGGGAAACTCCTGTCCCCACAAGTAAATGCTGAAGGCTGAAGGCTCAGGTGCTTGTCATCATTTCAATGTGGCTCTTGTTAAAAGTCGTGCAAAGTCAGTCAGTCCAGGCACAAACCAAACACAATCTTATCCTTCTCTGGTTCTCATATCAGAAATCTCATCCTGTTCCTTCCTGGCTTCATTTTCCAGGGGACGAAAGGCAGCGGATATTTTTAAGATCAGGACATTTACAGTATTAGCATGCATCACTCTAAAACCCACTGACAACCTTTTGTGACCTTTCCATTTTCACATTGTCACACATGTTAGCTAATAACCTTGGAACTGATCTTTCATTAGCTCTGTGATCTTTTCCCCTAATCCATTGTGTGTGTGTGTGTGTGTGTGTGTGTGTGTGAGCACGAGTATGTGCTTAACATCTTTATATCTTCCACTCTTGGAAAAAAATGCTAACTGGAAAGTAAAATATGCCTGTCTATGGTATCCATAATATTTGAGTTATACATATATTATAAAATGGCTAACAAGCACTAAACAGCATGCATCTCACCTCACATACCTTAATGCAAAGACACTGAGCATCTACGTGAAGGATAGAACATCAGCAGTAGTTACCATTACACTCAACAGATTTCTCTGCTAGCTTTTCTTAAAGGTGTCCTAAAAATGAGTCTTTTGTCAATGGATCCTTAAGGGAATCAATCTTATTCTCCACTCTCACTGAAGGCACTGGGCCATTTTCAGGCTACACATTCCCCAAAGCTAGAGGTGCTATTAATATGTAACTGCGTTAGAGGCATGTTCTCACTACGTGTCCCAGGCTGGCCTGGGAACCAGCATGTTCCCGCCTCAGCCTCCCAAGTCCCAGGATTACAGGTGTGCCTCCGTGCTCAGCTGACATCCTGTTGTGCAGGGACTGTTCCTGATTCCCCATCATCTACCATCCTCCAATATGCTAATACAGTTGGCCTTAGATGAAGCCTAGGTACTGTGATACTACTTCTAAGGTTTTTTTCTTTTACGGTCCACCTACAGTTGAGAGCCACTGGGGGATGGGGGAGAGGTGGCTTGCATCGAAAGGCCACCACTGACTGTCACATTAGAGAAGTGTTCAACCTCTACTTAGAAGCTAAATATGTTTGGAAGTTCCTTCAGTTCTTGGGGTAACTGACTCTGATTTCTCTCTCATTCTAGAAGGAAGCAAACAGAGGGGGCTTCGGTGGCAGTGGCAGTGGTGGTTGCAGTGGTGTGTAGTTCATTTGGAGGATCTGAAAAGCCCTCTCGAGGCAGGTGAGGGAGGCAGGGTAGTTGGGGAAAGCTGGTGGTGGGAGGGGGGCATGTGGTGGGAGTGAGGCAGATGCTGGTTGAGAGAGGCAGGTAATGGGAGGGAGGCAGGTGGTGGGAGGGAGGCAGGTGGAAGGGAGGGTTCCACTCAGTTGGTCTGTGGCTTTTGTGTAGCTCAGATCTTTCTTGATTGTAGACTTCTCAGGGGGAGAACTTTCTGATGACTCAGTGTCTGAAATCTTGGTTCTTCACCTTGATTCTCAGGACTTCTGATCTACTGGTCCATAAATCATCATTTCTACAAAATGTCCATTAGTGGCCAAAGACTAAGACAAGAAAATGGGACGTGTATGTAGTTTGAGTACCTGTCCTTGGGTCCTATTGGGGACTTCCTGGTGATGTCTGGGGACCCTCATGTTTGCAGCTGTGCGGTGACCTGTTCCCTGGAGGTGCCACCCATGATCACACCCAGGTGCTCTGTCCCATGAGTTCCTGAGGTTCACGGCCCTGACCCTGCTTGCGTTCTGCTTGGCAGCATTCCACCCTGTAGTAGGATTCCAGCACCCTGTCCTAGCTCTGACAGCTGGCATTGTCTTTAGACATTGCCATGCTTCTTCCAGAGGCAGCAGATAGAAAAGAGAACCCGCGCTTTTAGTCTAAGCTCTTTT